TATGATTCTATGATTCTGTGATCTGCCTGCTGCCAGGTCAAAATCTGAATTTCAGGGAAGCGTAACTGAGCCCAGTAATTTACTAAATTACTGGACAGTCATTATGGTAACAGGTTTCTAATAACTGCTGTACTTGTGAATAAACTCGTTAGAGTTCTTTGTAATCTAGGATCAATGTCCTTTTAATTCTTTTTTTCTTGACACCGTCGTTTTACAAATCTTTTTATTAACTTGTAAAAATGAAAGCTTTTCAGTTCTTACAGGATAATGTTTTTGAAGTCCCACAATGACAAGGAGAGATATCAGCAGTCTTTTTAAAGGCATTTCTGTTCTACTGATGCCCGTGAACTCCCTGTGCTTGTGGGCATTAATATGCTTTGCTGAATTAATTTAATGAAGAGTATCAGTGGCAATAATTTTACTAATAGTGTGTGCATGTACTTGTTTACACACAGATGTGTGTTACCAGATCAGAAAGCTAAAGCTAGCATGTATTGAATTGTGGGATTTTAATGTAGGAATCGTTAATGTACTCTGCCTTAGTGAAGACTGAAGGAAAAACAAATCGGAAACTCATGGAAGTATCTATAGAAAACCCAATCTTCCCTCCAGCACTGGAGATACTTACGGGTTGGTGTCCTGCTTCCTAACTCACCCCCTCACACTCCATAGTTGTTTTGACATCTTTGTTTTCTTAGTCTAGAAAGTGGAAAGCTTTTGGATATCATACCAAAAGCTTTATGTAGGACATTGCAAGAAGTTGGCTTTTCCTCTGCGACAGGGAATGGAAGCTTAAGGGAGAGGCAGGTGTATTTTTATCACAGTTTTATCACATTTTCTCTGTAAAGTTTTTGTTCCAATACAGAATACTTACTGCTTTGTTCAGTGGTTATTATCATTGTTGCTGGTATTGGAACAGATTGGGCTTCTTAGAATGACTTACAGGGAACTGCAGTTCAGGGAAATTTTGAAAGCAGGATTACATGATTACAGTCTCAGCATGTTAACACTTGAGTCCTGAGCTGTTGAAGAGAAGATAAGGCCTCAGTTCTCTGACTTTTGCAAGAACTTTTTCCGTTTGACCCGTTGTGGAGCAAAAGGTGACTTCAGTTACAAGACGACTCATTCTTTTACTAGTCTGTATTCAAGCACATGAAAACTGTTGTAAGACCTGACAACAAAAAATTAAACTCAAAATTCTCTTTTTATCTCAGAGTGAGTTCTTATTTCAAAACAAACTTTGAAATAAAGTTGGAATATGTCCCAAACCACATGAAAGTGAATGTGAAGAGTTCATTGTCTGTCTTCAAAGTATCTTCGCAGAGCTACAACCTTAGTTCAAGATCATGAAAGTGTTAAGAAAATGAGAAAATTTACATCACCGCAGTAGCTAAAAATGTAGAGAAATGGCTCTCCACAGCCTGTCTTCCCAGGTGGATGGTGCTAGTAGTGAAAGGAGAATTCCTTTCACTTCAGAAAATAAACTCCTCCATCAGTTTGTGTTCACTCATTGTGAATAGCCTCATGCGTGCAAATGAATCAGATATTGATACTAAATGCTTTCTAACAGTTCATATACAACACTTAAATGATACAGGAAGCCATCAGAATAATCAGTGTTTTGGTTTATGTGCCAGTAAGTGCTAAAAAAATTTCCTGCTGCTTTGTAATAACATCTTAATCTGTTCCGTCTACCTCTTTTTCATCATTGTCAGTAAATCAAATTTCAGTTACTGAGAAAACAAGTAAAGGATTTTTTTCACTTCTGATGAAGCACTGTTGTTCTTGATGTTGAAGACGTGATACTAAAGAAAAGTTTAAGGACTTTCTCATGAGCATGATGCTTCTGTACAGCACACACTGAACAGCTTGGAACTACTCATAAGGCTTTCATTCATGTCTTCTGATATGCAAGAGTGCTTCAGAAAAACTCACTACAGCGGTTGAAGAGACATTCATGGGATTTCTGGCATCGTTTATTAAAGTGTAGGATACATTTTTGGATGAAATTGTTGTAAGTGACATTTTTCCAACAGCTTTCAGAAATATAAGCTTGGGGGTAAAAGCTTAATGCAAGTAATTATTGCACATATATATATGTGTGTGTTCTTTCACTATTATGGTACTACATGGTTGATAAAATCATGCAGAACTTCTCAGACCTTTGAGGTAGTTGGAGCAGAGTGGAGCACTTTTTTTTTTAATGAAAGTAGGTTGCCCAGTCTTAGAAAATTAAGTGAAAACACATTATTAGTCAAAAAATGCTGTACTGTATTATTATTATTCACTGTATTTTGGGGGCAGAGAGGGAGCTATAGGAAAGCATTACAGAGCAGACTCTCCTGCAGATGTCATGGACAAACCAGGATCAGTTGCCAGAAAACATAATCTACCTTTTGAAATTTCCTGTAATTGTTCAGGTGTTCCTGAGCATTCTTTGAAAAAAAACTGAAATACTAATACGTTTGAGGAAATCACATTCTGTCCTGTTCTACTGTAGAGTGCGTGTTGTGTTATGTCAGTAACTGCAGTTAGAAGATTTGGAATTTGATTCAGATAGTACTAGTTTTATACTGTAATTTCATATAACAACTTCACACCTCCATTTAATTCAGAGAATAAGCAGTCGTTTTATTAAAATCAAATTTAGAAGTTTCTGAAGATAATTTGGACAAGAAATTATTTTCTTATGCTTTGCCTAGGCTGACTAGAAAGTGATTTTAAAGAAAATCTGCATTACTATACTTAAACAATGTATATGCAGCCAGTTAGCACTTCAAAAACAAGTTGTGCAGCTTTGTTATCACTAATGATCATTTGAGGAGATGTTTGTAGATAGGACAAAGTTGCTCAAGCACTGTTGGTGAAGATTGCTGTTGTCTAGCAATAGTCATCGTCACCACAGGCGACAGTTTATTTTTTACCAAGTGAGACACACTCTGTGTAATCAGTTCATCAAGAGACTTGCAAAGTTTGTTTGGCTTTTGCCTGTAGCAATGCTTGTGGCATTTGCATTAAATCTTACTTCAACTGAGGCAGGTGCCATTTTCAGCTGATTTATGATGCTGTTTTTTTCACAAAACTGTGAGAGTTTCCCTTCCCATGAAGCATTTATGATTATAAAAACTCTAGCCTGTGGTCTTTAATGTCTCTTTCTTCTTTTAGTTCATTTCACCTAGACTTAGGGATGCACTGAGTATATAAACTTGCTGTCTGTTTGCTTTTAGTAGTTCAACCTAGCAGTTCAACTCCAGAGTTGAACCACTTTATATAATGCTTTTTTCTTGCTTGCTTTTCTTTAGTAACGGAGAGATGATGTTGTAAGTCACCACGTGTTGCATTAGATATCGTGAAGCTTGTGGAATACTTTTTATTTTTATATTTGTATTTTAATTATTATTGGCATATAATCAAGTGTAAGTTTGGAGTGGGGAGGTCCCTCCCAACATATCCTGAAACCAGTTTCTTCACACAAGGGATAAAAATGAGTTGCTTGATGTAGTTAATGGAATAAAGGTCTGACTAAGCAGCGTGGTCTGTGGAGACAGATACGTAACGATGAATCACTTAGCTCCTTTGTTTGAATGTTAATTATTCTTAGGGCCTGTTGATGTGTTGGGTTCTCAATAAATTAAATGGAGTTTATGACATAATGTGGAGCTCTACACTTGCACAACATTCCTATCTTACATCAATGAACAGTGGTAATGGTGATAATTCATCATTAAGAGAAAAATTGCTCAAGACAGGTACTCTTGCTATCTGTCTTCTATGACTACATGTCAGTGCCTAGGACTGTTAAGAGTACCAGCTAAATTATCTCAACGTTTTTGCTGCCCTATGTATGAGGCTACAAGTATAAGATAACATGACTAGGCTGTGTCTGTGCCCTCCAGTGGGTTTCTTCCCGGAGCCGGCACACAGCTCTGCAGGTCTGCAAGGGTCCCTGCATTAGAGGGAATTTGTTGTGATGTGGAGGGAGACTGTGTTTGACCGTGGTTCTTGCCAATGCGGGAGATGCCAGTGCAGTGGTGAGTAACCACGTGATGAGGGAAACAGGTAAAGCGTGAAACTTGGCAGGTCTGCTCGCTGAGCAGTGAGCTCGCTAGGTGTAGTATGATTCAGTGCTTGAGTAGCACTAGGCTGTCAGTTTGTATGTTGAATTTTAAACTAAATGGTGAGTTGGCTAGAAAGTATATGCTTACTTGCCTGATACACAAGGTACGTGAGACACAAAGTAGCAAAATTTCATAAAATACAGAGTAAAAAAGCACTAGGTTGGCCTTCTTTTATGAAAATATCAAGATACGTACTTTTGTATCCCTGTTCTCACAGTCTCTGCAAACTTCCATTAGCTATAGCTTGTTTTTAAGTAAAATTGGTTGTTGAAGCCTGCACAGCGACAGCAGTTGCTGCAAGTTATGGTCAGCTGCCTCTGGGGCAGCCAGTGCCCAGCGATCACACGCATGTATTGGAAGCAAGAGTTTTTATTAACATGTATACAGGCAGTTCTAACAGACTCCATATGCTCTGTCCAAGTGAGAAATAAGGAGAAAACTCAAGATACAATACAGTACTGCTATCTGATTTGAGTCTCCTCCTGGGGGGTAGCTGGGGAGTAGTGTGGATAAAACTGAGCAAAGAAGTTCAGAAGGTTTAAAACTTCTCAGGTGCTTTGTACTTTCCAATTTTACAAACCTAGTTTCATGACCAAACAGGAGATCATTGAGGCTGCTGAGACGGCCCCTTTCAAACTCTGTGCATCAGCCTTTCAAAAAGGAGCAAGTTGTTGGCAGGCCTGACTTAATCCTGTATCTAGTGAGTTCAAGGAATTGAATTGCCAATATTATGACTTTTTCTGTTTATGCAGATCCTGTACTCCAGGTGCCAATACATGTGGAAGAGTAAGTCTGTTTTCTTTATCTCATTTACTGCTTGTTCGATTTCACTGACATCTTGAAATTTGGTTTAATTTGAACCCAAACTGTCTATGTTCTAGAAAAGTTGCATACCTTGCATAAGTCAACTTGAGGTGGTTTAGAGAGCAGATACAGAAAGGATATTATTAGCTACATATAATTCTCTTATTTGTAGCGCTAAGAAATATCCTGTCTGCAGACTGTTCTCTCAAGCCCTTGCTCAGGTTTGGAGATCAAGTGTGCTAACTGTGCCACAATCTTACTTGAGCAGCTTTGAAAATGACAGAAACAGCTAGGGAGCGATCTCTGGGGTTTGTACTTCTCCTCTCCAAATAAAAGACTAAAAATAGTGAAGCATAGGAAACTCCAACCACCACCACTACCAGAATCTTCAAATGAAACCCTCAAGCTGTTACTTCAGAGTAGTTCCTCCAGCATAGCAATCTCACATTTAATTCGAAAATTTGGGGCTTTAACTTTATGTCTCTGAAGTCAATGGGAACATCCTTTCTTTTTTGTGGTTTGTTTTTGATGTTGGGGTTTGGTTGGGGTTTTTTTGTAGTTTGGTTGCGGGGTTGCCTTTACCTCTCAAATTTACTTAGTTCTGGCAACTCTTTTATTGTTCCTTGCCTTCCTTATGCTCTCTGGTTTTGTTTGTTTGTTTGGTTTGTTTTTAATTCTGTGGCATTTTATAAAAGCATATGGATCTTGTTTAAAAGCTTTCACCCAAGTGATTGCTTGCCACATTTGGATCTTTAAATTTTCAAATGTATTAGTAATCTTATGCTATGTCAGTTCTGAAACTTCTTCACATTTTTTCATTTTCACAGTTAATAAATGAAACTTCAGAAAATGGATAATACAAAGTAAAAAATTTAATGTCACATGAATTTCTCTGTAAAGCCAGTACTGACCATGGTTGCTTTCCTATTCTCTGAGAAGCGCAGTACATTTTTTATCGTTTATAATTGCTGCTTAAATCCTAGGCCAGCATTTCTTCCAGACCCGAATGATGGCAGTTTGTATACACTTGGTGGCAAGAATAGTGAAGGCTTGACTGTAAGTATATTTTTTAAATTCTTTCTGATAATTTTTAGAAAAGTGCCCTAATCAAACTCACATGAAGGATAAGTCCCCAAGGGAACTTTCTGCTTTCTTGACAGTACTGTAAAGCTTTGCAGGCTTTTGTACTCTTTAATGGAAGTGCACCAGTTTCTTGGAAAAGCTTGAATCAGACTAGCCAAAAACCAGCGTCTGCTGCCTATGCCAATGTTAGGATACAAATTTTTGGAATGACAGTGCCCTACATTGTGTTGCTAGCACCTTTGCAGAGTGAAAACATACTTTATTTTATTAGAGCAGAAAGTTACCACCTTTCTTGTGATAGGAAATAATTTCTGTTTGAAAATATCAACACCACATATGTTTTGTCCACTTGTACTATTCTTCTGTAACTTGCTAAAATAATTATGATGATGACAAATAAAATTTATGTGGTATTATCCAAATATTGAATAATCTCTGTATGATTTGATGGGAAAGGTGTACCTGGGATAATACAAATCAGATATGTCACTTTCACCCAAATACTTAATTTTCTAAAACTATCTGCCAAAAGGTAGGATTAATGTATGTTCTATGCTGACACCTTTAGAAGGTGTCTTTATAAGATTTAGTAAGCAGACAAAAATGCTGAACCTTTTCAAAATAGTCACCGATCCATGTAACCCACAAATACTAGCTAACGTTTGACTTTTATTTTTAAACTTTGTGGTGATACTCAGATAAAATATTTGGCTTCCCACAAGTTTCTTTTCTCTGGCAGCTGCTATGATTTCCCTTAAGAACTTTAGTATTGTTAAATATTTTAGTATTTACTCACCACTCCCCCCGCCCCGCAGTACAGCCAGATCATAACTTGCAAAATTATTCTTGGTGCTTTTCCTGGGAAATCCAGGAAGCAGAAATCTATTTGAATCTATGCCTTTATTCTGCTAATCTCCTCTCTTTTTGAATTAAAGTAATTTAATTTCTGTTTAGAATCACTATTATAAAAGTTTTAAGCAAGAGTGGAGTGATTTTAGCATATTTAAGTAAAGTTAGCAAAGGCCTGATCTTTATTGTTGGTGCAGCTTGTCCGTTACTCTTGTGACCTCATCCCAATAAAAGCCACTTAAAACTTAGTAAGGATCATCACCCATTCTGTAAGTGCGATACAGGCTTGGCAGTATCTCAAGAACTCTTCAGTCGGAGATTCATGCTTCACCCTCTCAACAGTTTCATTTGTACGAGGATATCTGGCGTTTATAAATGTTACTGTACAGTCCTGCGGCGAACCATTTTAAACTCATTATAGGTGAGACAATTAAACCGTGGTATGTTGAAGCCCAGACAGTTTATAAGTGATGATGGTAGACCTTAAAACCACAGAGTCTTGGCCTCCTAACCTCTCAGCTGCAAGTAGTTCTTCCATTCTACATGCATTTCTCCTCTTGTAAACTCACTGAGACAAACTTCTCTCTGTTCTGGGTTTGCAGAGCGGGGCCTTGACCTGAAATGTTGAGTTCTCAAGCACTGCAATAATACAAACAAACAATAAAAAACTGTCATTTGAGATTTCTGAACTTTTCTGACCACTCTTTTCTGTGAACAAATGTGAAGACTATCACACCAATGTGAATAAGCTTTTATTGTTGGGTTTTTTTTCCCTAGAAACTTCCATTTACTATCCCAGAGCTGGTGCAGGCATCTCCCTGTCGCAGTTCAGATGGGATCCTGTACATGGGTGAGCTCAAATTTAATCTCTTTTAGATTGTGATATGTTCAGCGACTACAAAATGTAGAGACTCCCAGACAGACTGCATGGAAATATGCTTTATTTTGGGTATTATGGTTTTTCATCAACCTTTCTGATGACAGAAAATCTGATTAATATAGAATTCAATTACTGTTTGAAGATTAAAAAAGAACTACTTTTCCTGAAGGAGAAAATAGCTTTTCTAAGCAGTGAATAGCCTGTATAGGGTTTTTTGGTTTCTTGAGATGCTATCTCTCAACAAAATGTGACTTCTCCTTAAAATCTTATGCTTATAAATGTCATTGACTGCCTGACCATTATAATTAAATAAGAAATCCCATTGCAACACGGTTAGGAAACCTCCATCATTTGACATACAGTCAGTTCATTTATACTACAAATAATAACAAATTTATGGCTCACTGTCCTGACTCATTCTAATTGCAGATGGATTTGGGAGGAGAAAGGGAGAAGGAAGGACAGTTATTACTTATCACAACAGTAAAATGTGTGAAGGATCAGGATGAACTTAGTATTGGGTTTTTTTAATCTCCTGAAGGGCCAATACCTACTTCTGGTTCTCCACTTTGCATGTCTCCAGTAAAGGAGTGAAAAATGTTTATTTGAAGCTTCTAAAAACAACACATACGTGTTAGCATCAAAGAAGTATTTAAGGTCATGGCTCACGTAGTCTTGAGTGGGATGTTAGGATTACAATCCTTAATCAATTTGGAATGTGTAGACCCTCACAATTTTTTTCCACCTACATTAGCACTTCAGTCTCCTCTTCTGCTAACTCACAGGATCTTCTACACTCAGAACTCTGTTAGATATTATCAATGTGAAAAAATAATTCAGCCAATAGTACTTACCATTCTAAATATTGTATTTATTTTTTCTTGTCAATATTTGGGATTGGCCTGTAGTGCTAAATGACGAAACTGAGCCTGACTATGAGAAATTGTTTTATTAAAAATGCTTTATTCATGCTAAATTCATAAGCCTACTAAAGAAAAAAGAAGACTGAAAAGCTTGATAGAAGTGTAATTTTCCAACTGAATGGTAATGTGGCTTAAATTATGATTTCAGGTAAAAAGCAGGATATTTGGTACGTGATTGACCTCATGACTGGGGAGAAGCAGCAAACCTTGACTTCCTCATTTGCAGAAAGTCTTTGCCCGTCAACATCCCTCCTGTATCTTGGGAGAACAGGTCATATGCTTTTTTTTCTGCAGCTTAGAAGAAAATCGTCGTCGTTGTTTTTAAAGTTTAAGATCATAACAAATGACCTTGTGATCAGTTCAGGTTTTCAAGTTTATTTCCTAGAAAAATGTCTGTAAATTATGATTTTAGACTGTACACAGAAAAATTATTAACTCTTTATAGCAGCAGAAAGATACTGTTTTTTTAAACTTTGGCAGTAGGCATGGTCCATTATTCTTCTTGTTGACTAAGTGGTATTTATATTCTATTTAACACTGCATTCCAGTAGCAGCTGTGAACCCAAGTTTGCTCGGTAATGTACAGCTTTTATAAAAACTGTTTAAAGAAAATGGAGATATAGCATATCCACTGAAATTACAAATGCACTATTCTAAATAACTGTTAAAATTAGACCAACACCATATAGGTGTTGACTAGTGAAAAGGAGTAAGTGTTATAGACTTGTTCTTTAACCTCTATATTAATGTGTTCTTTAAGTGTGATAGTTCAGTTACAGAACACGGTATGCTGAATTTTAGAATGCAGGGTTTGGAAACTTGTAAGTAAAACAAAGTACATCAGAAGAAGCTGTGCCGTAAAAACAAAATGCTGGTAATGTGGGCAGTAACTGTCTGCAAGGCTTGTTCCAAGCTTCCTGTAGATCAGTATATGAGTGGCTCGGGTATTATCTTTAACAGCTATGAAATGTTTATTTATCAGGAGTGTTGGGAAAATGAAATGCAGAGAGCAGTAACTGGTGTGTGTGGTGTTTTGAAGAGTGTCTCAGATTTGAAATGATTGATTCTATTCTCTCATAGGTTTTTTTGCTTCACAGACTATGTATTTTTTAACAGAGTACACGATCACAATGTATGACACCAAGAAGAAGGAGCTGCGATGGAATGCCACCTATTTTGATTATGCAGCTACTCTGCCTGATGAAGACATAAAATATAGTAAGAATTCACTTGCTGTCTTTTTTTTTTGCCCCCCCCCCGCCCCGATTCACCGTGGGTTTTGCATACAGGCAAAAATATTCTGATTTGTTTCTGTAATTAATAGGTCAAGCTGTCTGTCTGATTTTTGATATGCATCTTTCAGTTTTTGTCCTTTACATGCCGTAATATCTAGAGCCTGTTAGGTAGCTTCAGGTAAATTGAATCTAAGAAGATGTGACTCTAAAATTTAGGGAAAAATGGCAGGAGAGGAAGCAAACATAAACTGGTGCACACTCAGAAAAAGCTATTGCAATGCTATTGCATTGCAACTGAACTTTTATCAACCTAGCTGTTCTTTTGCAATGTAAGGTAATGGACTCCACAGTTAACATAAGGCTTGAACTGTTAATATGTGTTATTAAAGTTGCATGTCTGCAGCAATCCAGATAATCTCCTATATATTTGTATATTGTAGAAATGTCCCACTTTGTGTCTAATGGAGATGGACTGGTGGTGACCGTAGACAGTGAGTCTGGGGACGTACTGTGGATTCAGAATTATGCTTCTCCTGTGGTAGCTTTTTACATCTGGCAACGTGAAGGATTACGGAAAGTTATGCACACTAACGTGGGGATAGAAACTCTGCGATACTTGACATTCATGTCTGGTGAGGTTGGACACATTACCAAGTGGAAATATCCTTTCCCAAAGGAAACAGAGACCAAGAGCAAACTGACGTGAGCATCAATATTCCTGTTCTCACTGTCTATTTGACAGAGCTTTGTCATTAAAACCTTACTTATATACATTCAGTTAAGGATTGTTCTACAAGTTTCAAGATGGTGAAAAGAATACATAAAAGCAGCTCTAGTTCTCCAGCCGTTATTTTATATCATATTTGAACTTTTACTGTCTAAAGGCAGACAAAAAAAAAATCTATCATAAACTTAGGAAATGTATATTCATAACTTTTATCAAATGTTCTGTGTTGAATAGTTTCTTATAATGTGGAACGAAATTGGTTTTTATAATGTGAAGCCTTTCACATTGTAGCAAAGGTGCATAGCATTTTAGCAAATAGCAGTTATTGAATAATGCAGAAATAGGACATGAGTTATGTCAAATGAGTAATTGTGATGTGAATAATCAACTAATAATGCTTTCATAATTAAAAAGAATGGCTTCATAGTACAGCAGTACTTAAAACAATTTTACAGATCCAGGCTTTTCAAGATACAAATATTGATGATTTGAGAAACTCATGCATTAGTTCTGCAGGATTGTGTTGCCAAGGTTTTAGCTAAGATGGTAAAACATCATGGTAAAATTTGTCTACTTCTTTCTAACACTTATTGGTTTTTTCCAGACCAACTCTATATGTGGGGAAGTACTCCACAAGTTTGTATGCATCACCATCAATGGTGCATGAAGGGGTAACTGTTGTGGTAAGTTGGGAGCTGCAAGAGTTGAATGATACCTGCTGAAAAGTGCCTTTACAGAATTAGTACTGTCCTGGGTTTAAAAAAAAAGTTGAAATGGAAACATACATAGAAATATAAAAAAAAAAAAAGACAACTTTGCCATTGTAAAGTGGCAAAGGGATCCGATTGAAATAGAAAACATCTGTACATCTACAGAAATTTGGTTTTAAATTGCAGATTGCTATCAAGAACTGCATAGCAAATTAAATATTTCATGAAACAATTAACAGTAAGCCTTAGAATGCATGACCATATTTCAGGAATCATTTCAAATGCTGCAATCATTTCAAAGTAACTGTAGCTCATCAGGAATTGTGCCAGGCAAGCTTAGCAGGAGCGGACCAGAGGTTGCTATGTCATATTGTTGGTACTTTGTGGTTAATGTTAAAATTGCTGTGTTGTTCATCAAAGTAACTCCCCGTAGATAGGAAGCAGCATCATAGTTTTGTTTTGCTCACGCTGTGGCTGTCCAGGTAGGAAATTAAGGTCCTGTTTAACTTTTCTAAAAAAAGAGAGAGTAATCTCATCTCCTAGGCAACATGTAATTTAGAAGGTCTAATGTCCAAGGTTGTTGAAGCAGTTGCTGAGGGCATAATGGCAGTGTTTACTTACGGTGACTTTGCTGCCAGTAATTTTTGCTTGCCCACCAATTTTGACCTCTGTTTTTTTATTTAGTTGCCTATTTAAATATTACAGGGACACGGTGCTTCCAAAATTGTAACAATAGTCTCTCTTTCTAGCCCCGCGGCAGTGCCATACCCTTACTAGAGGGTCCAAAAACAGAAGGAGTCACAATTGAAGACAATGGCGAGTGTGTTATCACCCCCAGCACGGATGTAAAGTTTTCAGGCAGACTGAAAGAAAAGAACAAACTCAACTATTGGAACGACTGGCTTTTAATAGGTATCGGAGGTCCCTTGCTTGGCCCTGGTCTGCCACTCGTGCGGGACCGCATTGCCATCTGGCGGACAATGCTAACCCCAACCCAGAAATGTTGTTCAGCTGCTGTAGATCAGTCACAATGACTGCCTAAACTCAGGCAATAATTTCTGGATTCTAGTAATCGTTTTTAATTTGTCCTCATTTGCATATGAATTAATGTCTTTAAGTATACGACTGCACATTGTTTTTCCCAAGGCCCCTGCTTTATTCAGTGCATAGGATGAAGAGTGCTTAGCTCAATATGTGGAAAGTTGTTTATTGTTTATTTGCCCCCTCCTTCAGAGGGGGTTATAGATAATTTATTATTTACTGTAAATATCATATTCTGGTTCCTTTGGATTTTTTTGTTGTGCATAAACTTACTTTAATTCTCATCATGCAGATCAGAGGGCCATGTTTTCCCCATTTACAAATTAAGGCACAGAGGCTGAAGATAATGTTAATAAAGTGTCAGCCTGTCCTGTGTATCCCAAATCCCAAAATTTTGGAATTGACTTTTCAGGGCGTTTACATTTTGCTTCAAAAATTAAGAAGTGTCTGAAATTCAGTTTTAAGTGATGCAAGTTTATAATTAAGTGATATATGCCATAGGATCTCTGTGGCAGGGACGAGGTGTAACTTTCAGCTTCCTTAACCTGCCACCTTTCCTTTCCTGTGATCCCTTTCTTTGTTGATACTGTCCTGCTCTTGCAGTACGTCAAGCGGCTCCCTTGAAACAGTTCGTATTCCTCTGCAACCCTCTGTGCTGAATGACCCGTGCCCTCAATCTTTTCCCTCCTTTTTGTTTCCTGCTCTATACACGAGCAGGAGTCTTCCTCTGTCTGCTCCAATTGCAAAAGCTCGGAGCACAGTAGCGTCTCCCTCTTCTCACTTGGCAAGCATGAGCCAGGGTGTGAAGAGCAGTTGTAGCTGAGTGCTGGATTGATTCTTGCTTCCTTCTCGTGCAGTGCGATCCGTTCCCGTCAGAACCATTTCATATCTAGAAGACGATCTTTGCCTCAAGGCCACATCACAAAGCAAAACTACCTTGAGAGTGAGCCAGCTAGGAGGCATAATGCATGTTCCACAGCCAGTGCTTGAGCAGAGAGTTCTTCGGGATTGTGATCACTATACCTGTGACTGCTTGGGAAGGACAGAGGGAAAAAATGTTTTAATTTGAGCTTTTGTTCTGTGATGTTCTCAAGCCTTTTGTAAATCAACTTTATATATGCTCTTCAGCAAAGATGCTGAAATCAAGGATATCTTTCCTAAAAAGGGACAACTTTTTATTTCAACAAATGTGTTTTATTTAAAGGGCACCATGAAACACCATTATCTGCTCCTACAAAGATCCTGGAGAAATTCCCGAGCAACTTACCCAAGAGGCCTGAAAATGTGATTCCAGCTGACTCTGATAAAGCCACTATTGAAGAGGTTTGTGACGAGAATAATCATCTTACTGGATGATAGAAGTCTATAAAGGAGCAGAAGTTGGGGAAGGACGCACAAGGAAAGCTACATGGAATTACTTTACATTTTTTGTGTCAGATTTTCATGTACTTAGCATGTAGAATCACTGGTATGATGATATGTCATTCTTATTTCAGAATTAGGGCTTTCAGCTGCTTTTTTTTCCCACATGCAAAACTTTCTTTGACTTTGGTAGAGTTAGAAATTATAGAAAATTATTTAGCAGAAAGCCTAGCCTATAAATGCTCCATTAACCATGAAGATATTGAGCTAACAGAGCTTTCTTTGCCTCTTAGGTTATTGACATCGTTGAAGGTTCCTCAACAGAAGTGCCTCCTGCTGGTCCAAAGGATATTGAGGAGAAACCTGCTTGGCCTATCCCTCGGCCAGAAGCTCCTGTGGACTCCATGTTGAAAGACATGGCCACGATCATTCTCAGCACTTTCCTGCTTGTGGGCTGGGTGGCTTTTATCATCACTTATCCAATGGTAATGCCGACTTAGCTTAATGTGCTTTTGAGTTTACGGAGAGTCAGTAGCATTTTAGAGCCCAAGAAATGATAGAGTTAGAAAGTAATACACTATAGGGTTTTTTCCCCTCCTCACAGATGTGCAGTGGGTAGCAAAGGCTACAAATTTGACATAACAGTGATTTCTCTGGGCATATGTGCCAACTCTGGAGATTTTTTTTTTCATCCCACCAATTCTGGGTTTTGTATGTGTTACTCTTTTCACAGACATGATCTTAACACCATTGGCTTCACTCCTCTCTTCCTCACCTGAACCATTGTCAGGTTTTCCAGCTTTTGGATCAAAGCCTTTATCCTTCTGTGGTTTAAAGACACCTAGTCAACCTAGTAACAGTTAGCTTTTGCCATATTAACGAACCAGTGTGATTTCTCAGCTTTGCAATGGAAGTTCAGAATGAAATTGAAAGCGTGTGAGTGAAAGTTCCCCAGCCTACTCGGCTGATAGTGTCATAACAAGAGAGTTTTCCTCCCACCTTTTGGATGTAGCTACCCCAACAGCTATAGAGTTCCCTTTTGTGACGTGACTGTAAGAAACTTCACTCCACTTACGGACTGAGGTCCTTTCTCACAGAGTGTACATCAGCAGCAACAGAGGCAGCATCAGCTGGAAGAGAAGATACAGCTCTTGCAGCAACAGAAGCTGCCCTTTCGTGCTCCCAGTGATCTATCCCCAGAAGCAGATTTCTTGAACATCTCCTATGGTCGGACAGAGAGCTCAGCTACCAGCACACCAAATATGTCCCCCAGAGCATCAAACCATTCTGCGTATTCCAGCATCTCCACATCTGATGTTGGGAGCTGCCTCTCCACTGAGCAGGAAGAAGGAGGTAAAGTCGATCCAGTGTCTTTTATTGTGAGTCTCTGTATTTCCCCAGTCTGTACGATACAGCACAACAATTAAAATACTTATGGATGATACTTCATAGATCAGAAAGCTGAAAAGGAGCATCATTCTCATTTAGTCTGACCATTTGCAAAACACTGTGCAGGTGTGCCATGCCCTGACTTTGAGCAAGATTATTTGCTTTAGAAAAACATCCAGTTCATAACTGCCATCTGAGGGGTTATGTTGTCCATGGCGGTATATTCTTATAACCTGTAGCCATTCTAGGGAGAGGTTCGTTTAAATAAAAATATGTAGTATTATGATTAACTGCAGTCAAGAAATAAGGATTATGCAGCGTGGCCTGCCTTCTGCCTGATCTTCCTGTGCATTCTTTGTCCCTTCAAAGGCTATTCAGGGGAACTGCTAGTAAACCCACTTCCATAACTGTCAGTCAACATTTCCTAAATTCAACAAGACATCTATTAAACTTTTTCTAGAAGAGTTTGTCTGCTGAGAACCACTAATCTTATACTGTCTTGAGACATGATCTTTTCAGACCTTATGTCAGGTGTTGTGTACAGAACGTGTTTGACTCTGTATGTTGGATTATTTGGTCACCAGGGAGTATTTGTCTACTCAGCGTGAGTACCAAAATGCAGATGTTCATTTGTTTTGATCATCCATGTTGTTAGTTTAAACATGAGCAAAAAGACTTTTATATACTGGCCCAGAAGGATGTGCAGTTGTAAAAGGCTGACTTGACCCATCCTAAACCAGTCCTTGTTTCTTATTTTTTGTTCAGATGAAGAGGCAAACAGAGTGATGGTTGGCAAGATTTCGTTTAACCCAAAAGATGTATTGGGACACGGAGCTGAAGGGACGATTGTTTACAGGTAGAAGACAATATGTGCATTCAGCATTAAATAGACTAATGAATGTCTTAATTGCATTGGGTCTTTAAAAAAAAAAAAACCAAACACATATCTAATATGAACAGAAATGAAACTTCTGAAAAAGTATTTTGTGTGTGTCTGGAATTTTTTCATGCAGTGTTTCTTCACTAGCAAAAACTACTTTACTTCCCACAGAAATGTTTGATGACCAAATATATCTGTTTTCAGCATGAGAAATGCTTTAATATGCCTCTGTAAAATGTCTTCTGTTGTCACTTGCTTTGTACATGCTTTTTCTACAAGGAGCGTAAAAAGTTGATGTGGTTTTCCTTCCTGTCTGTAGGGGGACATTTGATAACCGTGATGTTGCAGTGAAAAGAATTCTTCCCGAGTGCTTCAGCTTTGCAGACCGTGAAGTACAGTTGCTGCGAGAGTCAGATGAGCATCCTAATGTGATCCGCTATTTCTGCACGGAGAAGGACCGGCAGTTTCAGTACATAGCCATTGAGCTGTGTGCTGCCACTTTACAGGAGGTGATGGGTCACTTGCAAACCTACAGAATTTGTGAAAGTCTTCTTCCTGGAAGGCCTTCAATTTCCTTTAACTTAAGTTGCTGCAGTGCCTGCCACAGGACATGTTCTAGTTACTCCCGCCATCACCTCTGTGACAATTACACATTCCTACAACAGGGGTGTTTTCAGATCTTCAGAAAGACATCCCTAACCCTGTACTGATTTAAGGACAGAAGCTGTTGTCCTTTGATTTTTTCCTTCTTGTGAAGGCCTCCCTTCTAGTCATCCTCCCCCTCCTACCATCCGGACTTTGAAGACCCTCTACTCTTGCTTCTGGAGCACGGTGCTGTATAGAATTCCAGCTCTGAATGACATTTTAGAGCTCATCACCTTCAGCCAAAAAAAAGAAAGGCTCTTCTATGATGTGTGTTACCAGTTAGAACAATTTACCCAGTCTAACCTATTTTTGGGGGGGGGGTGGGTGAGGTGAAGGGGATATACTTACTATTTATGCAGAGGATAACAATAAGTAATGTTGTGGCTGAATCTTCTGGTTTTTTCTGTTGTAATTTATAGTATGTTGAGCAAAAGGCCTTCAGTCACCATGGCTTACAACCCATCACTCTCCTGCAACAGACGACATCTGGTCTTGCTTACCTGCACTCCCTTAGTATTGGTAAGAATGCCTCTTGTTTCAGTATTGGATGGAGAGCAGTACGTTTTCTTAAATAAAAAAAAAAGAGAAACTGGTCAGTGCTGGGAGCTTGTTTATTCAACCCCAGAATAGAGTTGTAGAAGCTCTACCTAGTGCTGGCAGCAGTAATGTCTGTCCTTTGACACCGGCCTTGTCCCTGAAACATTCTGCTACACTGGAGTAGTAAAGCTAGTCATTACCATTGGTTCAGGGTGCTGCATTTTTTGGACAAAAGTCATATAAAACATGATGACTAATGGTGATGGAATAAAAAAATGATGAGCCTCTACCAAAGACAATAGTTTGAGGTTAGGATTTTGATTTAACGAACAGTGGTTCAGCCTTGTGAAAGGTTTACAATGCAAATACATTAAAAATTTACAAATATCATTGGGATTGCCTGGAGTAGTTAAATGGGTGTTTATAATAGTCCACAGGGACCTGAAGCCCCATAACATCCTCATCTCGATGCCTAATGCCCATGGGAAAGTCAAAGCTATGATTTCAGACTTCGGCCTGTGCAAGAAGCTGGCAGTGGGCAGGCACAGCTTTAGCCGTCGGTCGGGTGTGCCAGGCACCGAAGGGTGGATTGCCCCAGAGATGCTGAGTGAAGATTGCAAAGAGAACCCTGTAAGTCTTCATGTTTCCGTCAGGCTTCCCCGGGAGAAGGCAGCCCAACCAACAGGTGGCACGTTGTTGCAGTCAGACTAAGATACGCAGTACTTGATGCCTGGGCATTCACAGAATCGTAGAGTAGTTTGGGTTGGAAGGGACCTTTAAAGGTCAGCTAGTCCAACCCCGCATTCATGCTGGCTTGCAGCTGGATATGTGATTCTGAAAAGTTTTCTTCTGCTCTTAGATGCAAAATAACCACCCTGTGATGATGGCTCAAAGTCTTCGGGAGCGGGGGGGAAAGTGTTATTGCTATTAAAGGTTGTTTATTTGCAGACATATACCGTGGACATCTTTTCAGCTGGCTGTGTCTTTTATTATGTGGTATCTGAAGGCAGCCATCCCTTTGGCAAATCTCTGCAGCGGCAAGCCAACATTCTGCTGGGTGCATACAGCCTGGAGTCTTTAAATGCAGGGAGGCACGGTAAGAAAAGCACAGTAAACATAAAGCGCTACGGAGTTTAGTGAACTTCCCATGGGTGTTAAAATACCAACAGAAATGACAGAACTATGACCCACAGTGATTCCTAACCTGGCAGTGCTGAAAGTTGTACTCCTAAAGCACTCCTGAAGTAAAGTTCCTAAAGTTCTTAGCATTAGTACCCCAAAGCATCTGTGGGATAGGAAATGTGGAACCCTGCAAGCTTGACTGTAGAGTTATTTTGTGTGTTTAAAGGGTAGGAAAGAGCTGAACTTTGATCTTCATAATCACACTGATTCAGCACTGCTGACTTTCTGTTGGTTGCCCAGCATATCTATGAGGGCACTACTTGAGCTAGTGGGACTAGTGTTCAGCGTCATGTTGGAGGAAGTAGAGAACATAATGATTTTCTAAAGTACAAAACATTAGAATTCCCTACAGCCTAAGAATTATCACCCTTTTCCTTGCAGAAGACATAGTTGCTCGTGATTTAATTGAGCAAATGATAAACATGGACCCTCAGAAACGTCCGTCTGCCAGTTGTGTGCTAAAACACCCATTCTTTTGGAGTTTAGAAAAACAGCTCCAGTTTTTTCAGGTTTGTGTTGACCTTTTCTATTCTTTCAGTTCTAAGGACTTCTGCAGACATTCTTCAAATCTTGAATTTAGTCTTTCCTAGCTTTGTGGATGTTTGAGGTGATAGAATCCACAACCTTACTGTGAGGAATGAAGCAGCAAAGTTATAATACCTAGGTAGTACCTCTTAAGAAATACACTTAGTCTTACAGAAGATCATTTTTAGCGGGGCTAGAACGTGACTTATCAACTGAAATTGGAGTGAGGAAGGTCTCTAGCGGCTACAGTAGCAATGCAGGAGAACATGTTGCCAGGCAGGTTTTCAAGAACAGGTAGCCCACTGTAGTGAACATGCACACTTAATCCTGGTGTGGGGTGGGAATTCGCTGAGGACCTGAGGTTCTTTCCAGCCTTGTCTTCTACTCTGTGATTAAAAGGCTTTGACAGATGGTGAAACGAAGTCATCATCTCAGAAACTTCTGTATCCCAGTCCCAAGCATAATGCATTGGATTGTACTTTGTCGTGGAGTAAAGTAGAATCATAACTCCATTATCAGGACAGGCTGTAATTGGCCAGAAGCAGCAACTTTGTTGGGAAAAGCTTGGAAATAAAACTAGAAATAATCTGAATGTCTCTTCTAGGATGTTAGTGACCGGATAGAGAAAGAATCTTTAGATGGTCCAATAGTCAAGCAATTAGAAAGAGGCGGAAGAGAGGTGGTGAAAATGGACTGGAGAGAGCACATCACTGTTCCTCTTCAGACAGGTAATGGATAGTATTTTATCAGAGTGGAAAGGAGTTATGTGCTGTTGTTCCCAGTTTGCTGGGACAGGAAAGTAAGGATAACACTGTCTCAGTTTTGGCACACGACCTTTACTTGTCAGCAAAGTATTTCTTCAAATTAAAGTATGTGTTTGTATATGGAAACACACCTATAAGGGTATGTGACTGTAGGCACACATACCTTACTTTTGAGGCCAGCAACTAAAACTGCATCAAAACACAAAAAAGAAATCTTGTAATTGCTTTTGCAGATCTTCGAAAATTCAGATCCTATAAAGGAGGCTCAGTACGGGATCTTCTGAGGGCAATGAGAAATAAGGTAAAGGACTTCCTTCCATACGCAACACGCACACTATGGTTCTGCCTCCATTTGCTGTTTGTTGTCAGTCTATGTCTATCTTACCTTGTTTTAGGTATTGAGCTCCTTTACGATAGACTAATATGAGGTTACTTTATCCATGAAAAAGACAGCTCTATTTAAAAGAGGCTCTTTGAACACAAACCCTCTGACTGAGCTTTTCCCTACTCTTTTTTCCTTTACAGAAGCACCATTACAGAGAACTGCCTCCTGAAGTGCAGGAGACCCTGGGCTCCATCCCAGATGATTTTGTATGTTACTTTACAGCTCGTTTCCCTCACCTGCTCCTACATACCTACAATGCTATGCATATCTGCTGCCAAGAAAGACTGTTTCAGCATTACTATAATCAGGACTCTGCAGAGCTGAGCCTTGCAGGAGACGCTGTTTGAGAGGAGAGGAATGGAGCTTTCTTCTCTGGGACCAACATTCCAAGCACAGGGCTGTGAAACAGGCCTACCTTTAGCAGGGAAAAGTGGGATCAAAGAGCTGAATTCTCTCTCTTTGAAGAAACCAAGCTTCCAAAAAGTGCCTTGTACCTCTGCCTGCGCTGGATCAGGAGATGGTAGGAGCCCAAGGAGTGAGGGGTAACTTCAGAAAAGCAATGAACCGTGGTGATGGAGTTATTCCAAGGCAGTTTTCAAGACAGTGAAAATGGAGAGCAAAAGCTGGATATAACCATCACCCCATATCCCTGTACTGTACGTGATTTTATAACTGATGTGTTTTACTACGAAGAATCAAAATACAGTGATTGAAATCATATAATTACTAGGGACTGGGATCTGCAAAAGGAGCCTTTTAGTTGTAGCAAATCATCAGAACCTGCCATTGCACTACTGCCACATTATGCATTAGGTACACCACAGTGATTGTAAAGGGAATCGTTTATGATTATCCAAAAAACAGTAGAGAGAGTACAATTTCTGTTTAATCAGTACTACCCTGGAAAATTAGTCCCTCGTACTTGAGCAGATACAATGACATTCTAAAAAATACTGACTTGAAAAATCAGTTAAAGGTTTACCTACTTTGAAATTAAGCCTCATGGTTTAAATCTCAACCAGTATTCACAGAAGAGCTTGAACAGTCCTTGACTTAAATCACAGTATCAGAATACATCTATACACGTAACTTCAGAAAAATACACTGATGTCAGCTGTGAGCTGCTCGTGAGAGGCTAATCGTTTATCTACTGCAAGTGTTCCTTACTTCCTTATAAAGAAGAGTCACCAGTTGCAGAGCCAGACGTAAGATGGCTCCTGGGGAAAAAGCAGCTAAATAGGAGACAATGAGAGATGTACAGAACAGTGAAATTATAGGCTGTGTTTTTAATGGGCACAACAAGGCTGTAAAGGAACCCCATTTTCTGTTTGTATGGGTTCCTAATTACATCCAAGTGAGCCTGTGTTTTTAAAGATGCAGTATTTCTTTTCATTGGCCCTAAAGCTGTGACAAAGCATTAAGTGTGTGCAAAGGATGAAGAAATGCTAAATTCTAATATGTGGGGTGTTCTTTTACAATATATTTATTTAACCTATTTATATTTATTTAATTTTTACTACAAAGTGGTATCAAATCCAAGTGGTACAAGTATAAAGCATGCCAAATCATTCTTAATCGGTTTTGTGTTTATATTTAATCATAGTATAACAACTGGAAGAGGAAAGTGATACTGCATCTTTCAAATGGAATTCATTAAAGGAGAAATTACAAAGTGGGAATTTGTATGACTGTGCCATTGTGTCTTAAACTAATAAATTATTGACAGGAATGTGTATGATTGGGTACGTACAGCTACTTTTCTGGAGCTACTTTATGGGAAGTTTTTTCCTAGTTTTACAATGTACGAGAGCAATTTACCTAAGATGCCAACTGTGCAAGTTACATATTTCTAAAGCTTGAAAAAAATAATGGTAGTTTTATCTAAGAAGATTCAAAGCCTATTTCATATTTTTGTACTTCTCATGTAAAGTTCTTTTATAAGTCTACTAAATAAAGACTTGTACTCAGATTAAAAAAACCCCCACAACTTTTAGTGACGATGTGTGCCCGGGGAAATAAGCCGGACTGCTGCCATGTGTGGACTAACACAGGTTTCAGAACCAGGGCTGGAGACGGTGGGCAGGGGAAGAGGGTGACTCACCCACAGCTGCGCTGGGCCATGTCCTGCCTCCCCAGAGAAAGGGCATGTCTTCCCGCTAGTCAAAGATATGACTCTGATGCAGGAAAACCACATGCATGCATGCGCTCTCTCTCGTTTTGGGCAGGGGCTTCCTTGAAGGCCTGGGAGCCTCATTTTGTTATTTTAAACAGTCCCTAGGCAACAGCCACCTACACCTTGGTGTCTGAGGCAGGTGAACAGATAAGATAAAATGGCTGGAATGATTGCACATTGCAACTATTTTTATTGCTGTGCAGGACTGAGATACCCATATGTGTGAAACTAAAGTTGATGAATGACCATGTGGTTTACAAGAAAAAAGCCAGCCTGTAAGACAGCTTTGGCTGCTGGCGCATGGCAGGCTGAGAGCATGCCTCACGTCACAGGTATCAGCACAGCTGTCCTGTGCCTCGGTGGGACAAAGGGCTGATGAGCCACTCGTGTTTCATGACCCTGCCAACCGCTCCTCTTCACTATTTACTTTGGTGAGCTGGCCTGAGCAGCTACCTGATATAGAGGGCAGTAAGGGTGGAGCTGCCTAGTTAAAAAAAAAAACAAAACACAAACTACCCCAAAAAACCAAAACCCCAACACCTCCCCGCCCCCCCAAGCACCTTGACACTGGGCTTGTTTTGTAGGGCATGACCAGAGGAGGGGTTTTCCCCATGCCAGGGCAGAAGGCAGAGGATGTGAGGTGGAGTACAAAGGCAGCACCACCCAGCAACAGCACTGCTGAGAAGGGGTGGAGCCTTGAGAAGGGGTGGATTATTAAGAATGTTTGTCTAAAGGATTACCTCCCCGCCCCCCCAAGCACCTTGACACTGGGCTTGTTTTGTAGGGCATGACCAGAGGAGGGGTTTTCCCCATGCCAGGGCAGAAGGCAGAGGATGTGAGGTGGAGTACAAAGGCAGCACCACCCAGCAACAGCACTGCTGAGAAGGGGTGGAGCCTTGAGAAGGGGTGGATTATTAAGAATGTTTGTCTAAAGGATTTCCCCTTTTTTATCGCTG